ATATTTTGGATGAAATATTTTATGCATGGAAATCTACTAAATCCTTTAAAACCAATTAGAACAAATAATAATTGAAATTCATGGAAAGATTGACCACACCCATATTTTAATGGAATCCATTGAACATCAAATTAAAAATACCTAGATTGTAATGAAATTCTAAAATTTTTTAATATCCATATTGGGGACACCCTCTAAAGCGTTTTTTCATATTCATTAATGCTTGATTACAATACACTCTAATAATATACGTAGTATGAAACAAAAAACTCTTTGTAGACATTTTTTCCTGTTTACGCATTTGTATACACCCTCTATGAATGTTTTTTTGTCTGTCATAAACAAGAATCAATGGCACCAATTGACAAATATTATCTGGAAGGTTTTAGTAGACAAGAATGTGACCATTTTGAAACTTCACAAAAATGTGACCTAATCCCTCTCTCTCCCCCATCGAGATCGACGCATCTGGAAGACTGAAACAAGCCATCGTAGGCCTCCTCTATCCATCGCTCATCTATCGTCGATGGCAGACCTCCTTCCTCCATCGCTCATCTCATCGACCTCACAGCCTACAACTACGCCTCTGGAGGCCACCATCGCAGGCCGCATTTGTGCTTCGTCAGTCGTCATCGCCCTCCCCTGCGCCGATTTCTGTTTCTTCCCTTTTCTGTGTGGTCAATGTGGAGGTGGACGTCGCCATCTTCTTCCACGGAGGGTTGGTTGTCATAGGTACTAGAGCTCGTTAGCTCTCCGTCGCATCTAATCCCAGATGGGCCTGATGGAGATGATAAGGGGCGGAGCAGGGGGCTAGGTTCGGGAGTATGGGTTGGGGTTGGGTGGGATCTGGTGCGTAGGGCTTTGTGGGTGGTGATTGGGGGCTGGGTGGGGGTTTGGCGCGTAGGGGGCTAGGGGCGGGGTGGAGAGCGCAGGGCTGTGGCTGGGAGTAGGACTGGTGGTTGGGGTGGGGCTGGGGACCTGGTGTGTAGGGCTGGTGTGTGGGCAGTGACAAGTGGGACGGGGCAGGGGCGGTGGTAGCGGCATGTGGTCGGGGCAAGAGTAGCAGTGGTGGCTAGAGACGGACAGGTGCGGCAATGGAGGCTTGGGCTGTGTAGTTGGAAAGTCATGGTGTTGTTGGCGCCATGGCGCTGGAAAAGGAGCCGGATAACTTTCAAGCGGCGGCGTCACCGTGGTGGCGTCTCCTGGCGTCACTGTGGCGGCGTCATCATGGTGACGTCACTATGGTTGATGTCACTGCAAAGATTAGCTACATGAATGTCACTGTGGGGATGTCACTACGCATTAGTCACATTTTTGTCCAAGTGTAAATGTGGTCACTTTTCTGAAATGTGATTTCAAATAGTTGTACGACAAACCGTGTTGTTCAAGTAGCTTTTGTTTAGTAATATCTATTAATATATAAAAGCAAAAGAATTTTGGGGAAAATTTTCCCACTCAGAACCATCAACATCATGTGAATCACTTATTCATTCACAAAAACAAATAAAAAAGAAAACGTGTAAATTTTTGGATGACTTGTGCGTGTTGCTTTGGCTAATGTGTAGCACTTTTTAAGAGGCCCATGCTCATAATGTTCCATCCTGCTGTTTGAACAGATTTGAGGATTTTAGTGGCACTGTTTTGATAAAGAAACTCCTATTGGTGGATGGAGAGGTGGGTACAACATTTTTTTCGAAAAATATTATTTAAAACTACATCTTCATAGCTTAAATGAAGAAATATGCACATACCTATGCGCGTAAATGTGTAATTTACTATTCCAACTGTTTGAAGAAGATTTTGGAGGATTTGCGGACATTTGTTTGAATAAAGGAATTCCAATTGGTGGTGGGTACAGACGTACAGTAATGAAGATTGTGTATTGGCAACGATTCTTAGGATGTCGGTTAACAATTGGATGGGTGTAGGTGTGGCCCGTGTGGGTCTTCAAAATGGGAATTGCTTCAAGTGGGGCTACAATGTACTATAAGTAGGGAATTGTGTACCGGTTATTTTTGTAAACATTTTTTTGTTGTTTTTATTACCTTCTCTATCTCACTTTATAAGACATACTTTTAATTATGGGTTCTTCAAAAACGACTAAAGCTGTTTTAAATTGGACTCCATTAATTTTCTATTTTTTCACTTTGTCAACTTATCTATTATTTCATCCTTTTTGAATCTATTTTACTTTTTGAATCATTCTTAGTGTACACATTTTTTTACACACTTTTGTATATTGTCTGTGTACACATGCAATTGAGAGATAAATCCTGTCTTTTTCTTAACGAACTGCCTGTGTACACATGCAACTAGGGGGTGTGTAAAAAAGTGTACAAAAGTGTGGACAACTAATTTTTTTTTGTATTCTTAAAACTCGCACTAAATCTAAATGTATTTTCGATTATGAACAAAGATAGCTAGCATCTTTTAATCACACCGGTATTATAAGTAGTACTCCGTAAATGTTTTCAACAATTGTTAATTCAAAGTTGAATTTAAACCTCCAAAGATGGCCGGGAAGGAGTTAGGATTTTTGCAAAAAAAGGGGTAGGGGTAGGGGTAGGGACTTTCACAAAAAAGGGGAAGGGGTAGAAGGACCTATGTAAACATTTTCCCACAAATTCATATTCAAGTACACTTTAAAAATGACATATCACATTTTCACATATTTGCGCCCCCTATTTTGCCTGCTTACCTGGGCAATTCGTTTAAAAATGCAATCCGTATAAATATATAGTTCAATAGTCACTCTATTGCTTAGTCATTATAAATAACTAGTCTTCAATTAATATACACTAACCTTTGAAAATGGAAAAACTCTTTACCGAAATCATTTTTGCATCGCGCAGGTGAATTACTCGCAAAACATTTTACCAAGAAGAAGGATTTTAACAGCGATTAGTGCTGGATAGAAGGTGTTAATTCCCAGACATTCATTAACACATTCAGATGGTAGCTTGCCATTCTGAATCCAGATGCGATAATACTCAAACATGTCTTATTATCCAATGACAGTAAAAAAGGTCAAACACAATCAATATCGCGTGTTGGTTTGTTGTTGAAAAAACATCTTTTAGTCATGGTCAACTTTATGTGATTGTTTCAAGAGTAACGAATAGCTGAACGTTAAAAATCATATTGCAAATGATGATATAGGAACAAACATTGAATCAAGAATGTTGTGTATAAAGAAATGTTTCATAATATTTATACTACGCGCTACTCACTGTTTTATGTGGTTATAAAAATTTGTGTGTTATTCTGTAATCATTGATAAATGATATTCAATACGGAGTATATTTCATTTGACGTTAAACTATTTTTATTGTACGGAGTATAATTATGCATGATTTAATTAAAATTATAAATTTATTTTTTGACTTCAAATGTAACTAAAATTAATTACACCCATGAAATTTCACCAGCCGTGCATCGCACTGGTGTTCTACTAGATCATTCAATGGAGTTGTGTAACGGGACTCAGCTTATTCTAACGAGGCTGGGTGATCAAGTTTTGGAGGGGAAGATTTTAACTTGTGTCAGTGCTGGACAAAAAGTATTAATTCCTAGATTGTCGTTGACCCCACCTGATGTCAGATCGCCTTTCGGATTTCAAAGGCGACAATATCCTATTGTGACTTCATATGCTATGACTATAAATAAATGTCAAGGTCAATCTTTGTCCCATGTTGGGTTGTTGTTGAAAAAACCAATATTCACACATGGACAGTTGTATGTTGCAGTATCAAGGGTTACCAATCGTTGTTGTTTGAAAATTCTAATTGTTGATGAAGATGAAGGAACCACTGACAAGACTCAGAATGTTGTATTCAAAGAAGTGTTCAACAATGTTTAGGTTTACATGAAATGGACATTTACAATGTTATGATTTCTACGTATTTGTTGGATGTTTTTTATCTTTTAAGTAATGGTTAGTGCTCTCTTTTTAACCATAATATTATAAGTGTGTTTCGTTCATTGCTTTGATCTATATCAATATTCCATGGAGACAGATGCTTTTAGGGGTGTGCACCGGTTCAAAACCGGACCGGACCAGAACCGGATTTTCCATGATATGGAAACCGAAAACCGGACCGGATGTATTCTGGGTTTTATCAGGAACTGAACCGGTTTATCCGGTTCAAAATTGGAACCGGACCGGAAAAACCGATTTCTAAATAAATACTTTTTTTCTTTACTAAAAAAGGTACTAATCATTTGATAAAGATGAAGTACTTATTATTAAAAATATTACTTTTATTATTATTGTTTTCTAAACTCATTTTAATTAATTTCAGTGAGCAAATATTGGAGTAACTTTAGACTAGAATAATATATATTAGTTAGTTTTATTATTACGAGAATAAAAATGAATGGATAAATATAATATTAGGATAATATATATTATAATCATTATGAAATTGATTGCTATTATATATTGTTATTAGCATGGAGTATGATTTTTTATTTTATAACTATTATTATATTAGTATTAGTAAATATATATTTAAAAATATAGCAAAACCGGTTAAATCCGGTTCAAACCGGAATACTCCGGTTTTAAACCGGAATCAGACAGGAAACCGGTTTCATAAATTTTCATAACCGAAAACTGGACCGGATATCATTCTGGTTCGAGCCGGTTCCGATTTTCCCGGTCCGGTTAGGTCCGGTTTTCCGGTTTAAACTGGATAATGCACACCCCTATTTGAATTAGTGAGCACAAATAAATTTGAAAAAAAAATTCTCAGACCGTGTCGCACGGGTGAGTTTAATAGTTCAGGGAATAACCCACCATAAACAAACCGTGTTGTTAGACAAGAAAGGCCAACGAAATGTATAAATACTAAAGTGATTATGAAAAGAGAAAACTATCAGATAGGCCCTCATACTATAGTCGAAACGTCAATTAAACCCTCGCACTTCAAAAACACCCAATTGAACCTCTGAATTCTTTAAAAATGCAAGTAGGCTGCCACGGGGGTCCTTAACAGGCAAATCAAGATGCTACCGGCTAATCGGCCCAATTGAGCATTTTCCGTACAACTATGTGAAGTGCGAGTGCCAGTGCGAGTGCGAGGGCTCTATCTGATAGTTTTCCGTACAACTATTTGAAGTCACATTTCCGTCACCCACCCTGCCCTGCCCAACACACCACCAATCACACACGCCTGAGCCGCTTGATGCCACCGCTTGGTTACGGCCTTTGAACTCCGTCGGAGCTCTGCATGGCTGTCAGTCATCATGTAACCGGATCCACAATCGTCGAACTGCCCAGGCCATCCCGCCCTAGAGCTCCGTTTCCCGCTCGCATCTCCGCCCGGAGCCACGGCATCATCGCTGCTTGCGACGAGCTCGAGATGCCTCAAGGCCCGACGTGCATATTTGTCGGGCCTATAGAGACAGCTAGTCAAGAGACTCTAGAAGCTCTCTACCGTCAAGTAAGCTCTTATGAATTAGCACATCTTGTTGTTTCCTGTAATCCCAGTTATGCATAGTACTACTGATTTCGTATGCGTGCGGACCTTAACTCATTCGCATGCGCCAATTCGTTTATAATTTGTACTTGATGAACTAATTCTCATGTAGTTACAGAAACTTGCCTTTTAATGTATTGCAATGTTGGGAAAATTTTATCTTTATCTTTTTTATTTATCTTTTTAGCTCCAATTCCTTGTGTCTATTCATGTGAGCGGATCTCAAACTCTTTTGGGACTAGGCTGGATGTTGTTGTTGTTTGTTGGAAAATTTATACTCCGAAATTAAGCAAACTATATTGATTCATATTCTCCTAATTCTGTAATTTTGTTTTAGGCAAGGGATTCATATTACAGTGGGTCACCGCTAATATTTGATGATATGTTTGATAGAGTTGAGGTAAGTTTTTAGGTGTACACACTACACATGGTATGCTAATATGCTATAACTACAAAAAATTCTTTTTGTTCCGAATATTTATTTGCCCTAATGCTGAATAATTGCTGTGACAGTTAAAACTACGTCGGTATGGTTCAAAATATGTTGTCAAGTACCCTCGCTGCAGTCTTAGCCGCCAATCAACTTATGCTGATGCACAGGTGATTTTAATTTTTAGCTGGTTATATCATTTATTTCTTCGGTGTTTGGTAATTATTTTTCACACTGATCTTGAATCATTTGAGGAGAGGAGAGTTTACTGAGTTCATAAAAGATAGCTTACCTCAGTTTTGACTTTCTATACTTTCTGATCGACCACCCTTCCACATCCAAAGTTTTTTCTTGAAGATATTGAATTTTCAAAATAAGACAAGTAGATCATATGATGTAAGGGCTATTTGTTGAAATTCTACAAGGATATTGAAAATGATAAAATGTCTACTGGATTTGATTGACATATTGAATTATAGAGGACAGTAGTTATTGAAATAAGGGAAGTACCAGGATATTGCGGTGCCCATTTTGGTATGCCAAACACCATTTGTGAAAAAATAGTGCCTTTAGTTCTCTCCCATTCATATTCCACACTCATATTCCCTCATTATGGCACACCAAGTACTCCCTAAGTTTCTTGTTCATTAACTTGAATTGAAGTCTTACTGTGTTTAATATTATTTGATTTGCATTTTAGTATATATGCATCATTTGGCCCATAGTAAAGTATTCATACTGCATTACTGCTCCATTTAAGAGATAATTTCGAATTCTAGTGTCTTTCAACAAGATATATGACAGTAAGCATGTAATCTCTAGAAGAACAGAGAAATAATAAACAGGGAGGTCAAGTTTTTTTGTAGATGTATTCTGATTACAATTCTGAATATATACTTGTAATGCAATATGCAAAGCACTGCAGTGTGTGCTTTACTGCTTCAGTACATTGTCACAGTTTATCATTTCCTGTGCTACATCATTTTAATGAGCAGGAGAATAGGCTATTTTCTCCACTTGAATATTGAGTGACGTTGATGTAGGGCAGGAGGACCCATCACAGGTTTTTGCACTAGCAAGCATATGGATCCTGATTCTTGGTCTTGGATGTTCAGTCTTGCTTGCGCCTATAATATACACTATAAGTCAAGCTTATCGTGATGCATTTACTTCAGAAATGCCCTTCACGAGTCAAGCATCCTCACTGCAGCTTCTTACCATGCTTAATGGCATACTTTACATGGTGTTAGGATCCATCATAGGGTATCCCATTGCTTCAGCATCTGGTAATACATTGGTCTGCTTTCACTTTAACTTCAGTTTTTTGTTGATGAGTGATAATGAGTTTCCTAAGTAACTATCTAGATAAATGATGAATCTTTAAGGCTTGTTACATGGTAAAGTTGTCATCTAGAGGTTAGAAGGCATTTCAGTTTGCTTTAATTTGCAATCTTTAGAGCATTCTGTACTTAATAAACATTAGTTTTAAAATATGTGATGTGTATGCCATGCGGTGCCCAATTTGTCTATGAATACAATGTGTAACTTGCAGATATATTATAAGCCATGCATTTGTGGATGGAAAGAAGTTATAATATTGCTCACTCAAACAATGCGGTGTGCGTGTCTTACTATATATTCTAATGTCAGGCTATGTTTGGTGCACTATGGTACAAGGCTTCAAGACAGAGCTCAGGCACTACTTACATGGAATGAACATTGAAATCTTTTTTGTTATGTTTGTGATGTGAAAATAGTAGGGACAGGAGAAAATGCACAAGAAAATAGTAAATCTCTTAGGATATGATTTTTTTTACATACTTTAGATTTCATAGTATTTTCATCATTTGTAATGGAGTCAAAGATTCACTATTGTTTGGCTTGAGAATATGATGGAGTAAAGCAAAATGACTCACTAAACTGGCTGCGCTTCTTTGTTATGAAGCAACAGTCAGTCCATGCAATTTTCAACATGATATTCACTATGGGTCATCCGGAAACAGTCTGCTAGAATCTGGCACAAATGAAAGCTAAATAGTATACGGATATACAAATCTGATGAAAAGGAGATGATAACAGTGTCTATTGATAATGAAAGGTAATCCGTAGGCAACAGACAACCAGTCCGTTCGAGAAGACCACTCTCCAAGGCAACACTCAATATCAAAATAACAGCCTCCTCCATTATGCTACCCCCTTTTCTATTTATAGTATTAAGTCCACACAGGAACTAAAATAGATAAAGTAATTCTTTAATTGACCCCAGCCCCTTTATTTCTCCTTTCATACCCCTTATCAAAATACTGACTAGGCTGATGCCTAACACAGTCTCTTTGTGCTTTAGTACAGAGGTAAGGCTGCGTACATCCGATCCCCCCTTACCCCACTGTAGGTGGGAGCCTTTGCGGCACTGGGGTAATGATGATGACAACTTGATTTCATAGTCATTACGGAATAGAAATATATAAATAAAACCATAAAAACAAATAAATAAAATGACACTGAATGAATATATTCAGTTTAAACATTAAACGATCCCCCGAATATCGATTTTTTACGAATTTCACCTCTACTTTCTTTCAATAGCATTTTTGGGTCCCAAATGGATCCCTAAGGCCTTAAGGTTCTTGTGGTCTATAACTCAAGAATTTCTCACAGCTGGAGCACTACGAGGGCTGTGGAAAAATGACTTGGTTGCACTTAAAGGTGCATGTCCAAACTGTGGTAATGAGGTGATGCATATCGTGTTTGCTTTTATTTCTTTATTGAATCAGGACTATCATTGCATTTTGAGTTCAGTCATTACAGCTTCAAGCATCAACTGCAGGTGTTTGCTTTTGTAAAACAAAATCAGTCAAATCAGTGTCCTCACAGAACGGAGTGTCATGTATGTGACAGCATGCTAGAGTTTCGGCTGAAAGTTGAGGTACATAAACTCATACTGTTCTTGGCTTTGTACTTCAGACTAAAATTGGGCTTTGTTATGGTTTTGTTTTGTTCGTTTTTGTTTTTATTCATGTTGAGCTATGCGGCATGTATGTTTTCTGTTGAACTTGATTTTCTCAAAGAAAGTACTTGAAATGTCCTTTTTTATTTGTTATCTTTCCATTTTAAGAGTGACTCCCGTTTTTCACAGTTGTTTTCCCCCCAAACTTTTCTCCAATTTTATGCATTATGTATTGTTTGCTGAATTGTTTTGAGTTTCTTTTTTATGGGGAAGGGCCAAATAAGCACCCCTAGTATTGCCAAACCATCATCTAAAAAACAACCTGCAATAGCAGGTCAATAGATTTTTGCCTTCTCCTTATTTTCCTTTTCTTTTTCTTCTGCTTCTTCCTTCTCTTCCCGCTTCACTCTCTGGTAAAGCAGTTATTTGTGTTTTCTTTCATTTTCATCCTTCCTTAAGTTTTCTTCTTCTTCCTGCTCTCTTGGTCCTTTTCCAGCTGTAACCGGCACACTGGCCAATTCTTTTCTTTGTTTCTTATTCATTCTCATTTCTCTGTTCTTAACATGTTTGCACTTCATCAGACTTAATTTTTTCTTCCTTGTTTTCTCCTTTTTTGTTCTTTGTTTCCTCTGAAAGAAGAAGAAGAAAAAGAAAGGGGAAAAAGGGAAAAAAGAAACAAGGAACAAGAAAAGGAAGAAGTCCTGCTAAGTGCAAACACTAGTTGGGAAGAGAGAATGAAGAAAAAATAAAGATTTTCTTTTGGCTGGACTGCTGTAAGGACGGTCCTGCAGTGGTAAGACCGTAAGAGGGCCAAGAGAGAAGGAAGAAGAAGGAAAAAGGAAAATGAGGAAAAAACAAAAAACAAAATGTGCTGCACTCTTAGAGGTGCAGCGGCAAGAGAAGGAAGAAGTATAAAAGTGAAATGGGAAAAGAAATTTTAAAGGAAAAGGGTCCTCTTTCAGCTGAAACAGGCACACCGTTCAATTCTTTTCATTGTGTTTTTATTCATTCTCATTTCTCTCATCTTAACATGTGTTTGCGCTTCATCGAACTTAACTTTTTCCTTCCTTTTTTTTCCTTTTTGGTCCTTGTTTTCTTTCAAAAAAGTAGAAAGAAAAGGAAATAAGGGGAAAAAGAAACAAGGAACAAAAAAGGAAGAAAAAAAGCAAGTCATGCTAAGTGCAAAGTGCAAACACTAGTTGGGAAGAGAGAATGAAGAAAAAATAAAGATCTTTTTATTTGGCTGGACTGCTGGAGGGACGGTCCTGCAGTGGTAAGAGGGCCAAGAGAAGAAAGAAGAAAAAAGTGAGTGTGCTCCTATTGTTGGTTGTTTACCCGGTCAATTGTGTTTTTGATAGGAATCTGGCTTAGTAGGCTAATAATAAGAAATAATAATAATAATAGTAAGTGTTTATGTAGTAGTATAAATAGAAGGGGAGGGGAGGAAAATAGATAGGCAGGTATTCAATTGAGTTTTGGTTAGGAGATTGGTCATCTCGAATGGTCCATAAGCTTTGTATCCCTTCTGTGATCTGTTCATCTTTGTGAATAAAGTGTTTCGATCTGTTCATGTTCATTTCTACTGATTTGTGCTGTTCTGAGTTAGAGAATTCCAGAGTTGTACCATTGGTATCAGAGCAACTGTTCTGGTGATCGGAATTGCTGTAGTATCACTAGAAATTTTTTCTCGTTTTGAATTGTGAATGGGATTTTCACTATGGGTCATCCGGAAACAGTCTCTCTGTGCTTTAGTACATGGGTAAGACTGCGTACATCCGACCCCCCTTACCCCACTCTAGGTTAGAGCCTTTGCGGCACTGGGGTAAATGAAAAATGAAAATGATTTGAATTGTGAATGGGGTTCAAACGAGAGCAAAAATGGAGAATCTAAGGGAAGAAATGGAGCGTAGCAGGATCGCAAATGAGGAAACATTGCTACAAATGAAAACAATGATGGAAAACCTTGACAGAAAGCTAGCTGCGATGGAAGAACAATTCCAGACTAGACGACGATCGCGGTTGCCAAGAACGTCCATCAGTTCGCAGATGCGAACTAATTCTTCCAAATTGTCGCTAACTAAGCAGTTTTCTTATCAAGCGCGAGAAACTTCTTCCAGTTCTAGGGTTTCGTCGCTGAACTATTCTTTGAGTTTGCATACATCTTTGCTCGCGGAAACTCACCACTGGTCATCGCAAAACATTTCACTTGGTCGTTCACAGGTGTCTTCTCTCAGTTCGCATATTATGTCGCAAGAAGGTCCCAGTTCACAATCGCGAACTGCATCTTCCAGTTATCTGGCTTCTTCGCGAACTTCAACTCATAGTTCGCAATCGCGAATTGTTTCTTTCAGTTCGCAGCCACCTGCAACAGCTGGTCTCAGCCCACAGGCGTTCCCATCTGCTATTCACTCGCGTCAGATTGCGATGCTATCCAGAGAAGAATCTTCTTGTTCGCAATTTTTGTCGGAAGTTTCTAACCCTGAGCACGTCTTATCTTCCAAGTTGAAGCTAGCGGAATTTGTAATCAAGGAAACAAATCCGGAAAAAGAACTCGAGGAGCAAATGACAGTAGCTGATGGAGCTAAATCTGCAATCAAGAAACTGAATCCGGACGACGAACGTGAGGAACAATCATCTGTTGTTCAGGTTTCTATTCCTGTGGTTGTTGGGCTGGTAGGAAAGGTTCCAAGTTCTTTTGCTCCTCTGACTCTCGTACTTATAGAAGGAAAACACAAGGATAATAGGAAAATAAATCATTTGACAAATGAGAGCCGTGAATTCGTGTTTGCAAAAGTCATTTCTGGAAAAGAAAAAGATATAGTCAGAAATTCTTTAGGAATACTTTTTGAGGATGATAGATGGGATTGGGATAACAATTTTGCCAATATCAAAGTTGGGATCAACGATCTTACAGGATTACCAATTGTGCAAAAAGAGTACGGAGATAAAATAGTTTATAATCATGAAGTGGATACTGTACTTGCAGCAACATATGGGTATCTTGTGACATTTGAAATAAAAGAGGAATCTCATTAGTCATTACCTATATGTGGAATTTCCAGGAGTGCATGAGCTGAATTTTCATAAATCAGGACCTCATTCAATTTCATATCAGAAGCTTGGTCAAAGTGGAAATGGGGATAGGAACAATGCAGAAATGGGTGAAAGAAGTATTATCTTTGACAGCGTAATTCCAGGGAGTTTTCATCTCCAGCTTCTGCTCCTCTTTGCTGTGAAAGAAGTGAAGATGAAAGGTCAAATAATGAAGGTCATGGCCAAGCAATCTAGGAGGTATTGGGAAGGGAGAGGTGCAAGAATGAAGTGGAAGTGGAAGATCATGGCTGATTCCTATCACCCACCTTGAGGACAAGGTGTGGTTGTTTAGGGGGGGGGGGGGGAGTATTGATAGGAATCTGGCTTAGTAGGCTAATAATAAGAAATAATAATACTAAGTGTTCATGTAGTAGTATAAATAGAAGGGGAGGGGAGGAAAATAGATAGGCAGGTACTCGGTTGAGTTTTGGTTTGGAGATTGGGCATCTCGAATGGTCCATAAGCTTTGTATCCCTTCTGTGATCTGTTCATCTTTGTGAATAAAGTGTTTCGATCTGTTCATGTTCATTTCTACTGATTTGTATACTGTTCTGAGTTAGAGAATTCCAGAGTTCTACCAGTTTTAGGAGTAAACTTTAAATGTGTGATACTTCTTTAGTACCTGGGCTAAGGTGGTGATTTTGGATAAGTAAAAGGGCTTATTTGGCACTTTTCCCTATTTTTATATGTTTAACGCTTGTTGAGATTTTTACTGGTTGATTTAAGAATAGAAAAGTGCCACTTTAATAGTGTTTTAAGATTTTTATTTGTTCAACGCTTATTTGGCACATTAATTTTTAAAGCTTGATCTGTACTGTTGGGAAATGAATAGAAAAGAAAACTCCTCAGGTAGTTGAGGTACCATGAGGAATAGTAAAGCCTGATGGTATTGGGGTTTTTCTTATCCCTCCCTTTCAAAAAAGAAAGATCGAACTTAGCTGATACCACATCTGCCATTTCTATGCTAAGCTTAAAGCCATTTTCCCCTGTTGGAGTTGATACAATTTCAACATTTTACAGCAGTCCATATCTAAACATGGTAGGCAGAAATGGGTTTATGGGCGTGTGTACCTCATTCGGCAGCAAGGAAGAAGGCAAAGGTAGTGAAGCATTCTCAACAATCAACATCTGATGATGAAGCCATATGCCTGTTTCACCAAATCTGTTTATAGGCAAAGGTAGTGTTTTATAGGCCTTTTTATCTATTTTTTAAAATCTTAGCCGGATATGTATGTACTTGCAAAGAAACTAACGCCACATGTAGAGGAAGTATATTTATCCTAGTGTACTTAATTCTAAAGGGTTGCATCCCAAAATTGAGAGCTCCACTTACCCCCCATTTTTTGGAGTTTAGTTGAGGAACTAAATAATGGGATTGCATACATGATACACCAATTCTTCTATAGCACTTCATGTACACTTGTCTAGAGTTCAATATACTGGATTGATACCAAGTATTTTTTTTTAATTTTAAATATGATTATCAACTTATGACTGCCCATGGTTTCAATATTAAATACTACCTCCATATCACTTAAGTTGTCTCATTTGCTTTTCACGGAGTTTAAGATAATTACAGTAGACTTTATAAAAAGTAGGGTTTTCGTACTGTAGTGACTAGTGATATTGTAGCTGCTTTTTGTGTGGATTTCTTTCCAAAAAGGGAACTGAGACAATTAATTTGATACACCCAAAAAGGAAAGTGGGACAACTAAATGATACGGAGGGAGTACCATATTATTCGTTGGAGTATTTCTGATCACATTTACCTCAATCAATGTTTGCTAATAAGATTACTACGAGGGGTTATTCCAGACTTTCCAGTACCAAATCATTTGATACACTCATACACCCAATCAATTTTTTTTTCCATTGGGGAGAGTCGGTATGTTGTTGAAGATTTCCGTCAACAACCCGATCATTTGTGTGCCATAGTGATGGTCCGAACCAGGCCAAACCGGCCCGTGAATTGGATCGGCCCGCTACTGTGCGGGACCGGACCGGGACCGGATGGCCGGTTTCGGGCTTTTAGCCCGTGTGGGCGGGCCGGGCTCGGGCCCTCTTTTAGTTGAACCGGCCCGGGCGGTTCGGGCCGGGCCCGGTTCTTTTTTTTGGGTTTTTCAATTTTTTTTTCCTTTTCCTTGGGTAGGGCTGGGTGTTTTGGGGAGATTTGAGGGGTGGGGGGTCAGGGGGTAATTAGAAAGCAAAAAAAAATATTACATAGACCCGGGCTTGACCCGGTTAGGCCTGGACTCGGTATCAATCGGGCCGGTTCCGAGCCCAACAATCTGGAAAAAAGCCCACCCGAGCTCGGAACCGGAACTAGACCAGCCCGGGTCCATTCCTAGCGTACCATGCTTAATTTTATGCATCATTTGGATTTTTAAATATGCGTTTGAGTATCAAAATTATTGGGAGGTACCACAACACCTTAGCCCTAAACTCCATCAACATTTCCATCAACATTGCTCCACACGTGGCCCTTTTTTAGCAATCCCCGTCAATATTTTGTCTTTCTTTGTATTGGGAGGCTCCACACGTGGGACATGCAAGCAATTCCTTGAACTCGTTTCTAACACAATGTAGTCGTTAGGACAAGCATGGATTTTTTGATACCCTATCCCCATTGATAGTAGGGATGGATTCGGGCCGGGTCGGGCCCGGTCGGGCCGCCGGTTCGTATCACATGGGCCCGGGACCGGCTCGAGGGTTGGGCGGGTCCGGTTCGGGCCGGGCCACCCGCCCGGGTCACGGGTCGGGCCACCCGCTGGGCCGGGCCGGGCTGGTTAATTTTTTTTTTAATTTATATTATATACTTTATAGTTTTATACAAGTATTAAAAAACAAACTTCAATTGCATTTATTTGAAATGAAATAGGAACTACATTTGAAAATTAAATAGGAACTATAATTGTTTTTAATCGGAATCTCCGGCATAGGTAGAGCCACCCTCTGTTGTAGATTCATCCATAAAGTGTTGGGATGGAGTGATGTCAATTTCTTGAGCTCTACGTGCTGCTTTCAACCAATCGTGGTAGCATATAAGCATTTCAAGAGATTCAGCGCTCAACCTCGTTCTGGTTTGTGTTAGAACATTGTCGGCCGAACTAAATTCTTGTTCCACGGCAACCGTTGAAACCGGCATTGATAGCACTTGCTTAGCCATCTTTGCTAAAACCGGGAACATTCTTTCTTTTCCCTTCCACCAGTTTAGTACGTCAAAATCATCATCTTCTTCAAAATCAACATCATAAGTTAAATACAAAGAAATCTCATTAATTGTACTTTGTTGTGTAGCGGGAGTTGATTTTGTTTTTTTTAATAAGATTGGCAAACGTAGATTTGAAAATTGATTTTCCTTTAGATGATGTTTGTGTCGGGGGAGGGGACGCATTGCCATATTGTGCATGAAACTCATTGAATAATGCATAAAATATATCACTAACCTCGTTGTATTCTTTTTTCGGATCAATTGGGTTGTCCTCATACATTGGCAATGGACCAAAAAAGCAGCATAATAATAATTCAAACATTCTTCTAAAGAACCAAGTCTAAAACGAGGATCGAGAACAAATGCAATACCATAAATATGCGGAATATGTGAATATTATTTTAAAAACATTTCCTTCATAAAACCAGCAAAATAACTCACATAATCAGCATTCTCAAAATTTGAAAAAGCACCGGCGAGATTAACAGCTTCACGAATAAATTGGTTTGAGGTAGGTTTATAAACATGACTAAAAGTTTCAGTTGCATTATTAAAATATATCAAAGCATTACAAATTTTTTCACAGGTGTCGATCTCAGCCGAGTTTATAATATAGTTATCATATTGTTTCATAAAAGCAGGAAAATGTTGTTTATATCTAAGAAGAACTCCAATTAACTTATAGGTACTATTCCAACGAATAGACAAATCTTTTGGAAAAGCCACATATCTCTCACCTCTTTCAATCAAATAATCATGCCATTTTTTCCTAAGTTGTCAATCACCCCAAATACGTCTAATCCCCCCCCTTGACTACCTCCAACAATGCTCCCAACGCTTTTAGACCATCTTGCACACATAAATTTAGAACATGACATGCACATCGTTGATGAAAAAATCTACCCATCAAAGAAGTAGAACCACACAATTCACGCAATCTAGGAATAGCAGCAGTATTATTAGTAGCATTATCAAAACCAATAGCAAACACCTTATCAATTAAATTTTACTCAATTAAAATACGTTCAATCAAAATATAAATATGCTCAGCGGTGTGACGATCATTAAATTCACGGAAAGCAAGAACACGTTTATGCATATGCCAATCATTATCAATATAATGTAAAGTCAGACCCAAATAATGTAAATTATGATAAGTATCCTCCCATATGTCAGAACATACAGTAACACGTCCATCAAAGTTTGCAAAATAATTTTGTAACCTTACCTTTTCCGCACCATAAAGCCTTGAAATTTCTTTCTTAACCGTTTTGCGACTATAACCTCTATATCGCGGATTTAAACAAGTTTGTGCATAATCACGAAAAGCAAGACTTTCAGAAAACAAATAAGGCAAATTTTCTTCAACAAGTAAGTTAGCCATACCTGTCAAATTTTGTGCATCATTGTATGATAAATTACCAAAAGTTTGTTGGTTATTTGCAAACCTCGATATTTGCGTTTGCTTCCCCGTTCCGCCGCCTAATTTTGCATACTCCACCGGGTGTTTGGACTTAAGGTGTCTTGTGGCGGATCCGTATCCGCCGGAACTCCCCAAGCTATAGTTTTTCTTGCACCAATTGCAAGTTGCGGTCCAATTCCCGGTGTTCGGGTCCTTCCACTTCGAAAAATTATTAGCCATTAATTCAGATTTTGTTTTTGTACCTGTTTGGGATGAGGCTGCTTGATCGGCGTCATGGCTGCCGCCACCCTCCTCCTCCTCCTCGTCGTGGCTCTCCGGAATTGCTTCCTCCACATCGTCGTCCTCGTCCTCGAGCTCTTCTTCGTCAATGGTCCTCGGTTGGTCTTGAAAAAAGCGGGAATTATGTCGGTGCAATTCTTGTTCTAGTTGTTCGTCGGTCATCGCATCCCCATCCCTCCTTATGTAACCCGTATCAAAATCATCTCGACTTTGAGATGAAGAGCCGATATGTGATTTACCTTTGCAGGATCTCTTCCTCGCAAGCTCTTTCGTTCGGTTGCGCTCGAGGTTACCCATATCAACCGAATATCTAGGACGATCCATCTAAAAAATGTAGCGATGAATAAAAAATTGTAAAAAACTAATTAACTATTTATGTAACTATTAATTCGAGTTATAGCAAATTAAGTAGTGAATTAACTAGTTTTGTGTACAACATATTTTTTAAACTAGAGTCAAATGTAGCAATTAATAAAAAATTGTAAAAAACTAATTAACTATTTATCTAACTATTAATTCGAGTTATAGCAAATTAAGTAGTGAATTAACTAGTTTTGTGTACAACATATTTTTTAAACTAGAGTCAAATGTAGCAATTAATAAAAAATTGTAAAAAACTAATTAACTATTTATCTAACTATTAATTCGAGTTATAGCAAATTAAGTAGTGAATTAACTAGTTTTGTGTACAACATATTTTTTAAACTAGAGTCAAATGTAGCAATTAATAAAAAATTGTAAAAAACTAATTAACTATTTATCTAACTATTAATTCGAGTTATAGCAAATTAAGTAGTGAATTAACTAGTTTTGTGTACAACATATTTTTTAAACTAGAGTCAAATGTAGCAATTAATAAAAAATTGTAAAAAACTAATTAACTATTTATCTAACTATTAATTCGAGTTATAGCAAATTAAGTAGTGAATTAACTAGTTTTGTGTACAACATGTTTTTTAAACTAGAGTCAAATGTAGCAATTAATAAAAAATTGTAAAAAACTAATTAACTATTTATCTAACTATTAAACAAGAGTCAAATGTAGCAAATTAACTAGTAATTAAACAAGTGTAAATAATAGAATAATTTCGTACCTCTTTTGGACTTTCGGATGGGAGTAATAGAATGACTTCAAATTAATTAGATATAATTCTAACTATATTAATAGATATAATAAATATATAAGTAATATATAATTAGATAACAAATATAAGTAATATAATACTATTTATATCTATTTATAGTTTATATAAGTAGATAATTAATATAAACTATAAATAATAAATATAATATATTGGAGAGTGGAGAATAAGAGAATTAGAGAGTAGAGAGTTAAGAATAGGATTTAGGAAGAATTGGAGAAGAGATATGAAAAAATGTTTAAGATTAGGAGTATTTATAGGTTTTTTTACCCTCCACCCCCCCACCACCCCCCCCACCAGCCAACCCCCCCCGGACCCCCCCTTTACCCCACCCCCAACGGCTAGTAGCCCAAACCAATTTTTTTTTTAAAATTAAACCCGGACCCGGGCCCGGGCCCGACCCGGCCGGGCCGGGTCACAATAATCCAGCACCGAGCCCGC